GTTAGCAAGGAAAAAGGGAAGAGACTCACAGACAACGTACTCCATTGCAGCTTCGTCTTTCTCGGACCTCACATGAAGTCACTCGGGATTAAACCAGTGCTTTCGAGGTCAGAAGCCAGCGACCTAACTACGTGAAGACTGACCAGTTCAGACTTAAATTATCACTAAGAGCTTAACTCATAAATTGTATACAAATCTTTCCACCCAACTTAGAAGAATGGTATAGGTGCAAAGCTCTATCTTTTATGGGAAATCCCTGATTAGGTTTATCGTGCTTTTCATTGGTTCTATCAGAAAGATGCCGGAGTATTACCTGCTTCCAAACAACTACTGTTCATAATTCCAGCTTATTAAACATAATGAAACAGCGTTGTAAATAACCCAAGAATCAAGCCGGTTATTCACAGTACGTGTCTTACAGTGGCCTTAGTTAGTTAGTTATTGGAGAGGGTGGGCTTCCCCATGCACTTAGACCTGTATTGGTCCATTGTGCTTCCCTCTATGATTTCTACCAGTCTCTATATCCTACCGGTACTGGTGCTTACCATCAGTCCCGCCCAGCCAACGAGACCGGCTCTACTAGCTGAGAGGTATCTATAATGCTTCCCTCATCTACCAGAGGTATTAGAGACTACCGTTGGGCGGGAAACGTCCGTAATTTGGCTCAGTGACCTCCTTTGGAGATATGAGGTTCTTTTACGTGCCGTAAAGCTACGACACGGGACCCACGGCTTAAAGTCCCTCCCGGAGGACTTGTTCCCTGAATTTTTCCGCCCTTAAAAATTCGACGACCTCCGCCGGGTTTGAACCCGCGTACCACGAGTCATGAGTACAGTGGCCTTACTATGACATTAAGGGCTGAAACACACACAGCGACATCGGTCGTGCGGAAAAATGTCGTACGATTTTTTCCGTACGAGCGATGTCGCTGTGTGTGTTCCAGCCCTAAGACGTTGTCCCTTAACCGTTGTGAAGGATATGAGGGATTGATTAGAGACTTAAGTGAGACAGTAATTTCTGCTATAACATATACGTACATACGTCTCCGCATTCAATTACAAGAAAAATGTACGTCTCACTTTCGTAATCTTAATACATAGTATGCATCCTGTTGTGTGCCATAAACAAGGTACACAAAATGTATACAAAAGTATGCAGTCTACACAACAATATTCTGTATTTAAAACAAAGTAGGCACTATCGTATCGTTACAGAATAACGAGCATAAGCTCCACGAGACGATGGTAAGGTCAAGACCACACGACCTGACTTATGCGACAGGGTCCCAATACGCAGGCGCCCCACACCATCATGTAAACACGTAGCGGTCACAAACCTTAAAAAGATATATCGCAAAACACTTCATTTACATTTTAGTACAATTTTAATTGTTATTACAATTAATATGTTGCTGGACATTATCCATCATCTTGTCTGCTCTNATTGAAGAATTAGATGGAAATTGTTAGATGAAATGCAATAACTGAGCCTGGTATCAATGTACGCCTGATGATGAAACATGTAAAAGTAAAAAGTAAGGCAGTACCTGTAACAGGCCGTGAAGGCCCATAGGGTTGTGAGACGTTGAGGGTCCCACATTATGTAGACAGTTGGCTCAAAGATGGCGGTAAGGTTGTCAGTCTTACGCGCCGGCCGCACTTTACTCCCCAGGGAAATTATTTAATTAATTCCAGGCACTCATTTCTGTTAGAGGCTGAGTCGACCCCAGGGCCATAGTGCGGCTGGAAGGATTAGGTCAATTGAAAAAATCCAATGACCTCATCGGGACTTGAACCCGCGACCTTCCGACTTGTAGCATAGTGCCTCAACCAACTACGCTACTGCTGGGCCACCTTATCACTTGGGGGGACAAATACAGAGACCTGTTCCTCCAGGTTGGGGTTGGACGTAAGGCCGACAACCTCACTCTGTGCAAAAAGATTATTGTTATTATATCAAAAGAAGTAACAACCGGATGGTCTAATTCAGGACAGATCTGGCAGAATTTCCTGAGGAAAGCTGTTAGTGGCTGAGTCGAGGTCTGGGTGCGGTGACTGTGAAGTATAGCTCTCTGCGTCTGTCGGTGTGCGATGGAAAACCAATTTATACGCGTACAAAAGTATAGTCACTTGGAATAAGCATTGTACAGTGTGATGAAATAAAGAGCACAGAGAAAACAATCTTCAGTGATCTCTTAAAGCATACTTGCAAATTAACTCTTGTAGTTTCTAGGCTGTTCATGTAAGGCAGTGGTTCTTAAGCTATGTAACATGATGAATTACTTAATTGTCGCACGAAATGTCAGTACCAATTATCCAATCGAATCAAAAGGGGAAGAAATTTACGCTATTAAACGTAGTATATACATTTATTCAGTTTCTGCCTTTGACCATATAGAAAACATCGGACAAGGGTCCACACACATTTAAGATATAAGTACAGATAGAATTAATACTCCATTTCACGTTCCGTCAGACTTCACCTCATTGTTCACTCATTGCAGTAGTACTGTATATAAGTTGTGACGAAAATACAACTTCTGTGTCTCAATTTGAGTCTTCCAGCATTTATATGATACTCTAAAAGAAAGAGTGAGCCACTTGAAAAGTATCACTTTATCCGTTATTAAATGTCATTACATACGAGTAAAAACCACTATCACAAATTATTTGGGTTATTCAAAAATGATTGACACTCCCTCCATGACTCCGGAAAAGTAGCAGTGTCAAATGCGAGCCAGTGTATGTGGGAAGACATACTATAGAGCCGCCTATGGCCACGAGATGACGTTGCTACTGCGCACAGGTCGAACAGTGCTGCGTCATTCGTGGCGGTGTGCAGGTGCAGTCGTAGACAACGCTCAGATAACATGGAAGCAGACAATCACGGGCAACGGTGGACTGTGCGGTTTCTCTGGAGGGAAGGAGTGGCTGCTTCACACATTCACACGAGGTTAGCAGCCGTATGTGGGGGAGCAGCACCAAGTCATGCGGGGTAAGACGGTCACCTCCAACGACGAGCTTCAGGCAGTTGTTAAGCAGTGGCACCGGGATACCCCCAAAGAATGGTTTGGTGTGCAAATACGGAAACTGCCGGAAATATGGCAAAGGCGCAGAGACATTGGCGGGGAATACCTCTAATATAATCTGTATGTATTTTGTTTCAGTAAATGGTTACTCTGAAGAAAAACATTGTGTCAATCATTTTTGAACGCCCCTAGTAAAATACAGTAAGCCTTATCTCCAGAACTTTGTAATATATTTCGCTCGTCCTCTACGTGACTTGTCAACTGTCAGGAAATTATCCTTTTCGGAAGATTTCATGTACACTCCACAATTTGTGTTCTTCTTTGCCATGCTTACTTATATCTGTCATTATTTACAAAGTTGCTCCTCTTTTTTGACTTCAGTCTCTTTGGAAATGGTAAACATTGGTGATTATATAATACACTTATTTAAATATCGTTTCTAAAGAACTACACATGAATAAATGTATTCACTTAGGAGTAAATAAAAGACGCAGTGACCGTTATTATACTGTCTCTCTGTGACTCTAAAGTCCTTTGGACCTTAGCCTCTTTTTCAGTGTCTCAATCCTTTACACAGTCGGTAGGACTCCTTGGACGGTGGATCAGCCCATCGCAAGGCCGATACCTACTCACAGAACAACACAAACAGAATAAACATACATAGACATCCATGCCTTGAGTGGGATTAGAACCCACGACCCCAGTATTCATGCCTTAGACTGCGCGGCCACTGTGATCTTTACTTTTGTATACTGTAACACTTTATCATGACACATCACTTTATGTCAGTTACAGTTATTTAGGCGTGTGTGTGTCTGTTAAATTATTCTGGTGCTGGGTGTGTGCAAATTCGATCCACAGTCAAGTAAGGTATTGTGGAACAGGTCTTTAAAGACAAATCTTCGGCAGCTAACCAATTTAGTTCTGAAATATTGTAGACTCCATAAGTAGCTGTATATTAATCAAGGCAGAAATAATTTGAGGCCGCTGATGTAATGAAGACGTGAACTTGTTCAATTCAGTTAGTTCTTGGCTGAAACTTAAGATTACTCCATAATTCTTCAATTCTCATTACTGAGCCATGTAGAAGGTTTGAATTACTTTAAAACCAGAAACATTATTAATTGTCAATCAATTGATTAATATGAAAATTGGCTCCGTATTTATGATGGGCTACGCCTTCGATTTAGATTTGTGTGTTTTTTGCTGTAGTTATATAACTAAAGGCACAGCTGCCATTTCCATAGGTAAAGGTAAAGATGTCCCTGTAACAAGTCATCAAGGTTCATAGGGTTGTGAGACGTCGAGGCTCACATATTTTCTCTAGATAAGGCATGTCCAACTTCAAACAGGTTGTGATCGACTTTATAGTGTTAAAACTGCCAGTGATCTACCACCCCTTCTATCGTCGTACTTCGCTTTAAGCAAAAATATTTGTAAAAATAACAGGACACATGATGTTTGTTGTAAAAGCAACATACATTGAAAGTACAGACTACTTTAATACGTATTTTCCCTTCAAAATCTGAATATAATCATATTATATTACAAGTGAATTTGCATTGTTTTCACGTATAATTTCCTTATAGGTCTATGAGATCGACCAAAAATCGTCCCGCGATCGACGCGTTGGACATGCCTGAACTAGACAATCGGCACACAGATGGCGGTAGAATTGTCAGCCTTACGCGCCGGCCGCCCTGTCTCCCTGCCCCCAGGAATATTCCTGGTACCCATTTCTGTTAGAGACTGAGTCGACCCCAGGACCATACATCTGCTCTTCCATATGCCTTCATGGCGTAGTGCTTAATGGTGTTTTTCTAATGTTCGTTCTGTAGGAAATATCATCCTTTAATTTTCTATTTTTGTTACCCACGTATTCTACGAAGTTTACTGAGCGCGATGGATCTTGTACCAGTGCCTATAACCTAGCTCTATGGCGTAGACAAAACCCCATTTTTTTCGAATTGCCTTTACTTACGTAATTGATGTTTAAATGCAGAAGTGTTTAAGTTGATTAATCTAACACTTCAGATTAACATCTTGTACGGGTGTAAATTCTAACAAGTTTGTTGGGTGCTGTATCAACATATCAACATGTAATGTTGTCCCTGTACTTTATTAAGCAACACGACATTAATAGTTACGCGGGAGAAGTATAGCTCCATGCATACATAACTTTGGTAGTAGAAGGAAGTGAATGGTCAGTGGTCACCTTCACACCCCAGATGCTTCAGCTGTTTCCGGGGGAACAGCTCTCGGCAAATAAAATACGAGGTGGGACGGTCACCAGGGTCAGTTCTGGACGGTGTAGAGAAGTGAAAATCCTTTCTGGGAATTGAATCGAGATTCATCAGTTGTCCAACTTGTAACCTAGTCACTATACCAACTGAGCTATCCCGGTGCCCGCATCTTATGAAAATAAAAGGCAAAAAGAATATGAATAAAGTTTTTTTTTTAACCGCGAAACATTGTTTTAGTCTTGAAACTTAGCAGAGATTTTGGGCTTTATGGGCAACATGATGCAAATGAAAGGACATGCTCTGTAAATAGGAACAGCCTATTAAAAAGTGAACGCAAAGTTAGAAATTAATCGATCTGGGTTATACTAATGCTGATTTGTTTTCTGCCTTTATTGATTCGAAATAAATTTAAATACATAGTTAAGAGTGCTCTGAATGAATGGCAGGACAAGAAAATACGGACAAGATTGGCTTGAGCATGTAGAAAGGGCGGAAGAAGGACGAATATCGAAGAAAATTCTTCGATATAGGCCCAAAGGAAGAACAGATCCTGGTAGACCACGCAAAAATTGTAATTCATAGAAGCCCAAAAAGCCATCTACATAATTCTTGAATTGTAGAAGAATAAAAATAATTTCGGCCCCGGAAAAAAACCGATTGAAACTTTATCTGCAAGAGACAAGTTAATATGAAGTCAATTCTCACATAAGAAATAGACAGATTTAACATTCACGCGAATAAACAAACAGTAAGGGGCTAAGATTTTCGTCTGTCAAGAACAGCATTATTAGTTAGGGTGTTAGCCTATTTGTTTATGTATTATCAACCTATGTAAAATGCCAGTCTTCATGAGAGTTTGATTAAATATGGGGAGTTCTATCTTCCTGGCTTATAATTTATAAACTAGGCAACAGAAGGACATTTACTCGTACGTCGTTCTGTTCTGATGCTCGTGTTTTCATGTGACACTCCCTGTGTCGCTAGTACTTGAAGCATGAACAGAACACTATTGTTGTAACAATCTTTGGATGATGATGACAGCTTCGACTGCGAGATATAGGAACAGGATGGTACTAATGCCGTCAACTGAAGAAGCAGCGGTGTCTCCAGTTCTTAGGGAATGCCTGATCTTCCCTTCGCAGTGTGAATAGTTCTTGGTTTCATCTTCTGGCAGTTCCGTGAACTTGGGAAATGTCGTTATGCTCAGAGGCTGAAACAAAATGAAAGATTCATGAAATATTGCATTTCGAATAATGCATGCAACGTATTATAATGAGACTTTAGCACATTTATTTATGTGTTGGAAATGTTGATATTCTGATGTGGCTCAAAATCATATTTTTAAAACAGCTTTAATTTAAAGTACACGTATTCCGTCCGTATTCCGTATTGAGGGGGTGGGTTTCCCCATGCACTTAGACCGGTTACTGGTCCATTTTGCGTCCCCCTTTAATTTCTACTGTGTACATACCCTACCGGTACTGGTGCTTACTATCAGCCCCTTTCTGCCAGCGAGGTTCCAACCTCTTACTGGCAGTGGTATCTAATAGTTAGTCCCTTTCTGTCAGCGAGGTCGTCCCTCCTCTGGCAGGGGTTCCTCGTCCCTTTCTGCCAGAGAGGCCTGATACTTCCCCCATCTACCAGAGGAATTGGAAACTAGTTGGGCAGGAAACTTGGCCTAATTTTGCTCAGAGGTCTCCTAGAGACATGAGGTTCTTTTACGTGCCGTAAATCTACGACACGGGACCCACGGCTTAAAGTCCCTCCCGGAGGACTTGTTCCCTGAATTTTTCCGCCCTTAAAAATTCCACGACCTCCGCCGGGGTTTTGAACCCGCGTACCTAGAGTCATGAGGTGGGAACATTACCCCTAGACTACGGAGGCCGCTAGGTACACGTATACTAACTGCACTGTCATTTTAGCCTTCTTTCTCCAAACTGTCTGTATGTGAAACCCTCCTTATCAACTTTTAAATGCCTGAAACCAGTCTTTATGAAACTTGGTATGCATTTCATGGCACCTGAGTCTGTCTCAAAGGCGAACTTACTAAATCCCTCTGCTCAATCCGAGTGTTTCTGTACTCTTCCCTTGGTTGCTAGGCAACGGCTCGGTGAACACGTTCCCAAGGCAACGAACACACAACAGTAGAAATGTTGGACGCGTTAATGTCTTATCAAAGGGGAGTCCGTGGGTCTGTCTGTGTAGCCCCCTATCTTTGCTAGGTAAAAACTCTGTAAAGACTGTAAAGCCGGAGGCGTCGTTTTCTATGCGATCCGTGTCGTATCACTAATTCTTCCCAGGACTACTTGTAGTTATTGTTAAATTCTCTTCAGTTAAGTACATCTGAAACTAAGTAAGATGATGTGGCTAGTTTAGATACTACGTGACGAGGAGGTCCGTTACGTCATACAGGATTGTGAGAATATTGAAATAATACAAAATTACGATACACTGGACATATATCTTGCATGCAGGATCCAGTAAATAATTATATAATATTGGGAGAGAGGTCTTTTGGAAGGAGGAGGACTGCAATTACTTCCAGCTTCATGTTACATTGACTACATAGTCTCATAGGCAAGAAAAGCACAATGTGGTTCCTGTTGATTTGTTGATTGGTTGATTCCTGAGGGAATAATGCAATGCGATTAGACGAAGAGATTTAGAATTGGACCCGCTTCGAAAATTATGAGGTTTATTTTCTTTTTGACTGCTTTGCATAGGCAGCGTAGTAGGTTGAGGCACTATGCTACAAGCAGCTAGGTCACGGGTTCGATTCCCGATGAGGTCACTAAATTTTTCAGTTGACTTAATCTTTCCAGCCGCACTGTGGCCCTGGGGTCAACTCAGCCTCAAACAGAAATAAGTACCACGAATCTTTCTGGGGATAAATAGCTGACAATATCACCGCCGTCTCTGGGCCGATTATCTAGACAATGTGGGTGCCTCGATGTCTCACAAATCTGTGGGCTTGCACGGCATGTTACAGGGATAGTTTTGTGTAAGAAGGACATATGGTGGACAAGATAAATTTTGAAGACTTCTACATTCTAGGACAGGGGTCTCCAAACTTTTCGAACCGCGAGCCACATTAGGTAATTCAGCACTTTCAACGGGCCGGATAAAATGAGAAATTAATAACTCTAGGTATATGAGTTTTATTGAAAGCACAGAATTTCATAAACTAAATACAAAGTACGTGAGAATAAATTATCGTATATTAATGACAACAGACAGTAGCAGCAAATGTTCATATTTTCATCACAAATTATAATAAAATAATTAATGTGAATGATGGAACTATTTTTGCATTCTCAAAATCTGATTAAATTGAGGTTCAAATTTTGAAACGCTAATCACAAGTAGCGACTTTAAATGTTCATCGGATAAATTTGTCCTGTATTTCGACTTGATGTACTTCATCTGGGAAAAAGTTTGTTCACACAGATATGTCGTCCCAAAAATGGAGATAAATTTACAAGCAAATTTCTTTAAATTTGGAAATTGCTCAGAGTTCAGAAGTGTATAAAATTCGATCAAATTTCCATCCTCGTATTTGTCTTTAATACGATAATTTTCTTGAAGTTCAATAATTTCCATTTCAGTTTGACTTGGGACATCTGCAGCATCACAGTCAAACGGATTTTGAAATTTCCTGAGCACTGGAATCAAAGTAAGCAAATCGCTTCCGAAATTGTTCTTTCAAACCTGAAATGACTAAATTTGCAAACGAAGAAGGAAATTCTGCTTTACCCCTTTTATGCGACTCTGCACAGTATAGCATATGAACAAAGTTACAATTTTTCACTTGGCTTTCCAGAAGTATCAACTTTGCTCTGAATGCCTTGATAAGTGCAAATAAATCACAGACTGAGTTATTTTCACCCTGCAACTTTAAATTCAAAGGGTTCATATGGTTCGCCAGATCAGCAAAATATGATAATTTCCAAAGTCACTCGGTATCTGATAAAAGTGGTTCGTGATGGTTTATTCTGTAAGAAATATATCAATTTCATTTCTGAGCTGAAAGAAGCGCGAAAGAACCTTTCCACAGCTAAGCCATCGAACTGCAGTATAATATGTCAGGTCAATAAGCTCGGAATCACATTTACTAGTACTCAGTGGAAAATTAGTTCAGTTGGCGCATTTCTGCACAATTCTTTCGGGCCGGATAAAATCACATCACGGGCCGTAGTATGGAGACCCTTGTTCTAGTACATAACGCCATGTACTCCGTCGAAAGTCAACGGATGTTTCGGAGGAACATTTCGCCTCCATTTTCAGGGTTGAATTATAAGCCAAACAAGTTCTGTTTTGTCATCTGGTTACACGTTGGTTTTTTCTTGGCTTATTCATTGACCCTGAAGATGGAGACGATATGTTGCTCCGAAACGTCGATTAATTTTTCAAGCACTGTTCGGTGTTATATCCCAGAAGACAAAACTCTTCATAACCAGGAGATAATTGTTATCCGCATCGTGAAAGAACATGTTCTAGTTACAATTTTTAAGCAAATAATGAGACGGTAATTCCCTGCCGTTAGCGCAGTGTGTTTTTTTTTTGTTGCAGTCCGGTGAAGCTCATGGCAGGTTTTGCGGCATGTTTATTTCTGTTCCTACCCGGCGACTTACTGCCCAGCCGGCCGTGGAATTGTTTTATATGGATAGGAATTCGAGGAATTCCCTTTTCAGGTCAGTGTGGAGTCACGAGGCGAGTTGCGTGCCAGGTGGATCCATGGGCGTGGTGGAACTTCTGCTAGCTTTGTGTGTTCAGTAATACTCGTTAACGTTATAAAGTCATTACTCACTTAACCAGAGAGAAGTGGATCCATGAAAGGATGGTGGCTTCGTAAGAAGGACAAAAAAAAA